ACATGCCGCCCAACGTAACACCGGTCATTCAACCGATGGACCAGAATATAATAAGGGAAGTTTCTACTTTCGTATGTCTTATCAAAGAATCCTGAAAACTTATCTGAGGCTTTAAAAAAAGTAACATTACGAGAAGCTGTTTTAGATTAACATATGGCCTGGAATGAACTTAACCAGCAAACTATTCAAAAATGTTGGAACAATCTCTTTTGTACCAATAATGAAGATGATGAAGAAGACGATGTCCCCTTAAGCGTAATTAGAGAACGTTTGCGATCCAATAATGATAATGTTATTAGTGTGTCATTGGATGTTGTTGACTTATTGAAAACAGTGAATCCAAACATTGTTTGTACTCCTGCTGGTATTAATTTATGGAACGAAGATAAGCAGACGAATGATGCTGATCAGGAGGAGGATATGGACAGTAAGGATGATGAGAACGATCCCATTGAAGTCAGAAGTGTAGTGACTGACGCGCAAGCTATACGAGTTTTTAACCAAGCTTTAGATTGGGCTGAAAGAAAAGAAGTTTCATACACGGATATTTTAGTTCTTCGTAAATTACGGGCGCAGGCATTGGAAGACAATGCTAAGCGCAAATTTACGCAGACAAAAATTGTTAATTATTTTTCTTCTAATTAAAAAAATACTTATCGCTGTTAGAATATTTGTTTATTTTGTTATAAATAGTATGTATTAAACGCTTCTTTTAATAAATCAAATATTATATAAATCACATTCGCTAATGTAAACATTTCGATAATGTGAACCACACTTGGATTAAATTAGTTTACATTATCGAGCGTCTGCTGTAATTCCAAAAACGTTGCACCCACAAATCCAGTCATTTCTGGTGTAAATCTCCCTGCTGAAATGCCGCGTATAGCCCTTGCCCTGACTAACGCCTTGTCCGGCAGTGGTCGACCTGACACATTCAGCTCAATTTTTTTCAAATGTGTATTTTCAGAATCGTTTCACGCTGATAAGTCTGTAAACCACATCCATTGTCTCAGTGAGTCACTAGTCACTCAACGTAAGACCCAAAATAACTGAATAAAAAATTTTTCGCATTCAAATTTTAAGCCACGTCCCAATACCGAGGACCGAGCACCGACCGACCAATCAGATATCGTACTTCGCATTAGATCTGTACGGATCTGCATAAATTGCAGCACATGCTTAAAACGCGCTTTTGATTTTGTAGAGAGAGACAAAAGCAAGCGCGTGCGGCTTGTGTCGAAGTAGTGCACAGACCCTTTTCAAGTGGCCCATGAATAATGTTACGCTGCGGTCGCGACGAAAATGACAAGTACACAATTGGTCGATTATAACGCTTTCTCAGTAAAAAACAGACTCGACGCCGTGTCTTGCGGGGGCAGGCAATTGTGTGATAACATGGAAAATAAATAATGATCAAATTACTACTGCTTTTTTCTGTTAAGACAAAAGTTTTGGCAGTTCTGCAGCTTTGCAGAACTTAATAGCCAGCCGCCCCTGAATAACCTGTCGGGCACAGGCACAGCTAGTACATATACTTCATTCACCGAGGACTGATTTCCGTAATGCTTGTGCTCCCTTCTTTGATAGCATATTGCACAGCCAATAAGTATGACAGTGGTTGTCCACCTTTTTTGATGCACCGAATTACTTTTGGAAAACGGAAAAACGGGAACACAATAAACTCAATAAAGAGAAAGAAATCCGCATGGGTATCATGTAAAAGACCTATAAAACGTCAAAAAAAACCTATAAGATGTCATCTTGCAAAGCAGGTAGTTTTTAGGGCGCAAACAGTCATTCCACGTGTGCTCACTTGGATCGTTGTGAATGTCCATCTAAGGAGTAATCACTCAACTAAACTACACGCATTATTGGTTGCATATGTTTTGTAAGGCCAAATGGTCCTTGTCTGTAGTTTTTATCTCTGAGAAGAAAGTTGGTTGAGTAGCAAGACCGCATCTGGATGATTATGTGTATTGGTCTGCATGTGTATAAAATCAATGATATATGCTGTGTGAGAAAATCATTACTGAATATGCTGCGTCTTTATTTAATCCAAAATATCTTAAAAATGTACTCGCAAGAAGAAAAGTTTCAAATGATAGAATGGTACATCCAGAATAATTCAGCACGCGCGGTTGTTGAATTATTTGCGGTACGCTTCTCAGATCGGCCAATTCCGTCTCACGCAACGGTTATAAATACCTAAGAAAAATTCAAGAGAGTGGGCTGCTTACATAAGTTCCATAGCTGCATGCACCCTGAAGGTTGGAAACCAAAAATTAGCGAGAAAAGGGAGGAGATCGAAACTGCTGTTTGTGCCGCTGCAGAAGTATCTGAGCCATGCTCAAGCAGAAAAATTGCTGAAATGGTACCAATAGCCGATCTCACACCCAGAACAACAAGAAATATTTTGCATCGCAACGGCTATCATAGCTTCAAGGTTGGAACGGTTCAAGAAACATTTCCTTTAGACAAATACCGTCGAATGGAGTTTTGTGAAACGGTCATGGAGAAGGCGAACAGGGATGGAAGTTTTATTGGTAACATTTTGTTTACTGATGAATCCACATTCCCTCTCCACGGTCATCACAATCCTTCAGTCGTTCGGTATTGGTCTCGGGAAAATAAACACCTCAGTATTCCCGTCCGCACGCAGTATCCACAGAAACTGAATGTGTGGGCAGGAATTCTAGGTAATAACATTATCGGACCGTTCTTTATTGATGGAACTCTTACGGCTGCAAAATATTTGGCGTTACTAAAGACGCAGATTGTTCCTGCAATTAGGCAGCTTGGCATTGATCTCGCTAATATTTGGTTCCAACAAGATGGATGCCCGGTGCATAATGCGGCGATCGTACCCACTTACCTTGAAAGTGTGTTCGGCCACCGGATTATTGGCGGTAACGGAACAATAAAATGGCCTCCTAGATCACCCGATCTAGCGCCCAATGATTTTTCTTGTGGGGTTATGTGAAAAGTACTGTTTACACTTTCAATGAGAGAGCAGACAATTTGCATAACCTACAGGTGAAAATCGTTGAAGCGCTCGGGCAAATACAGCCTTCTACCCTCTTGAGAGTTCGTCAGGAGTTTTGTAACCGCCTGACATACTGTTCATTGAATGAAGGAGACGTTTTTGAGCCCCAGCTGTGAAGGACCATTTGAAACATTTGTGTTCATTATTGCGTTTTATTTTTGAGAACTTATTTTTTTGCTAGAATATCTTTTTATTTTCGTTACACATTTTTAAGAGTGTACTATTTTTGTTAGAGTGGGTATCTTCTTATTTTTGTTATGAGCAGCAACCTTTATTGCTACAAAACCAATTATCCATTCATAAAAATAAGTAGAGTGATTTAGGTGATTTCGTGAAATCTCGAAATCACCGAAATCGGTTCACAGGACGTCCAATCGAACTGGTGCGTAATGCGCGCATCTACTGTACTTCTTCTGTCGACTCAACGCATACTGAAATTTGCAGCAGACCGCAGACCTGTATCACGAATGAGAATAATAGGCAGATACGCTGTGTTGCCAATTTGAGTAGAGCTTCCCGAATTGTGGGGAATTTAGAGTTAAGTGTTGATTCATTCAAGCTTTTAATCAGCATGGCCTAGACGTTAGAACTTCATAAAGATAACATTGAAGCTGAATGCTGCTGGAGTATAGTGTTTCGAATATTCAAAGCGGGGCGGGACACTATACTCGTTCAATGGGTCATCAAGCCACAGTCTTTTCAACAAAGAAATTATTTTACGAAAATGCGTTATATTTTCACGATTTTGTCGTCACCAAATCTCTGTTTCTCAAAATGTACGTCTATTGTAGAATTTTCAGCAAACTAAGCAAGAAACGTGATCTAGTATTTACTCAACATTACGGATTTCTCGAAATACATTAAAAAATGTGACCTAGATACCTAACTGCCCCAAGCTCTTTAAATATAACACCTTAAACCAGGGTTACCCGGTGCTCAGTCACGTTGATTGTCATGTTGTACTGTGCAAGTCAGCAAACAATCTGGCGTAATAAACGTTAGGAATCATCAGGTATTGCCAGATTCCCGAATACCGGGCACCATAGTACCCGTTATAGTTGTCCTTCAAAGTTGTCAAATCGCCCCTATAGCGCAAATTCGCCACACCAGGCAACTGTGCTATAAACAAACCCTGTTTATCACTACTATTTGATAGTCATATGGTAGTTGTAGCCCTATCTAGCGGTCCATGATTTCTCTCAATACTGTTGTATCTCTACTGGCAACAAGAATAGGGATTACAAAATCATTTATACAACAATATACAAATATGAAAAATATGATTTGAACCATGAAACATTAATACAATTTTAATAGTTTGAACTTTTTTCATTTTTGGAATACTCTTATGTGGAATCCGCAGCTATTTTTCCCGAAATTTGGGTAGACTCAGATTTCTTAGAAATATGACATATTGGTATCGACAACTCTGCGAATGGGAGAAACAAATCGCATTTGTTGAGCGCATCCGTCTAAGCGGCAGGCGCCAGCGCCCGTTCTGCCATCTCTCTTTTATCGCTCTTCTACTTTACCCCGTTGTCCGTCACACTCCGACGCTGCCAGATAGGATCCTACAATCGAGTGTCTTTCACACACCTACATACTTTTGTATATTTCCATCTCTCTTCCTCATCATAATGTATAATAATCCAGTAATGCCATCTGAGAAGCAGATTGTACATCACATCAGAGCCAAAGATTGGTAACAAGCCTCATAACGTTTAGGCAATGCATATAACTAAGTGCTAAGTTAATATCTCGTAGAAAAACCTACATAATGTCAAAAAAAACAGCATTATGTCGAAAAAAAAACAGCATTATGTCAAAAAATTAGTGTCACTTTTCAAGATACGTGATACCCGTGCCGATTTATTTCAAATGGATGTTTAATTTTGTCCGAACATAGATTATCTGTTTTTCATTGATGTTATAAAACGATTGTGAACTACCACAAATAATTTTTAGCTACTAGTGGAGTTGATGAACGATGTATAAGAGACATCATGAGCCTTAGAGAAGGTGCTATAAAATTATTATTTTTGACATTCCTTTAGTTGGTGAAAACAAATACTGAACATAATTACAAGTTATTGTATCTTTTTCTATTTTTCAGGGTCGTGATTTGACGATAGCTTTTAGTTTAATAACGTTTACTTATCTTTTCATCGGTGTTGTCTTCTACGTTGGATTTCCATTAGCGAAAACGTGCATTGAAGATGTAAGTATTAATTATAAAATACTGTCAAAATTCTAGATAGATCAAAATGTCTCCTACCCAATTATTATTATACCAGCCCACAGCACTGGCACCTCGAAAACGGTAACAACTTTATTTTTTCTTGGCGTCGCGATATCGGTTTTTTGCACAGGTGAATAGAATTTTTAAGCCACTATACTTTAGCGCATATCGCAAATATTTCATTTATTATTTTAACATGAAAGATTAGGATGTAACTTGCACGAAAATATCGTTTTTTCTTTAATGAAACCTTTGTTTGCTATTTTATAGAACTTCAATGTTGCATTTTGGATGCTAACACTGTGGTATATAATACTGCTTTATAAGCTGTTTTCTTCTTGTTTATACAAGAGATTGTTCAAAATTATATGAATATAACTGTGACACTGTTCATCGCAATAATGCAATTTTACAATATTTTAGTGATGAAAATAGTTCATTGTTAAGTAGAGGTTCCTTTTATTTCAGATAATTATTCCCATCACTACACCACCGTCGCTGTCATATTCTCTCCATCTAGTTGCGATGTTGCCAAATGATGGATAGTAATATACCTTAATTTGGTTTGTCAAATTCTTACTTATACAGGGTGTCCCAGAAGTCGACGTCAAGCCGAAACCGGGTGATAGACAAAGTCATAACAGCTATCAGAAAAATATTTAAAAAAAATGTATGTATGTGTTTTGAAAATTATAGGTCTTTGAAGAAAATATAGAAATTTTACACCCTACGGCAGTCTGTCAACTCCTGTTACTACAAATATTAACTTTTTTTGGATTTTATTTTTACAATGTAATGATGAATAATGCATCTTCAAACTGGTGTCTCAATCTTACTGCCAACTTTTCTCGTTCAGGAAAAATTGCCACTTATTTCCCAACCAAGTATTCCAAAGTAAACCTTTGCTCAACTTTAACTGGCTGTACTGGAAAAAAATGTACTATGAGAGTTTGGCAAGTAACCTTAAAAGTTGGCGCATTTAATAACGATTCCAAAATGGTATAACACTTAGAAGATTACTCGTTAACTTATGCACAATTTTTATTTGAAAAAAAACTGATGAAAATTTTTCAAAATTTCCTAATTAAACAGCGATTATGAAAACGCACAAGGACCCTTAAGGATAACTGTTTGCACAACAGTGGGCGTCAAAATGCTGCTGATGATGATTTACCTTTACAGCAAATGCTCAAACTGTTTTCCTTCAGCCGCAATACACGCTCGACATCTTCTTAAAAAAGATCGGGTTATTAAACGAGCGAATCCACGGTTATTAACAAACTCAGCTGCTTCCAATAGTCTTTGCCGTAGCATAGCTACATTTTGAATCGGCTTGAAATACACTTTTTCTTTTACAGTTCCCCAGTAAAAAAATCTAAAGGATTCAAATCAGGTGATCGGGCTGGCCACGGTATTGTACCAGACCGCCTTATCCATCTGCCTGGAAAGTTTTGATCGAGATACTCTCTCACTGAGAGTGCATAGTGCGCTGGGCAGCCATCATGCTGAAACCACATGTCCCTGTAAATACTCAGTGGCACGTCCACCAATAAATTTTGTACATGATTTTTCAAAAAATCCAAATAAACTTCAGCAGTCAAAGTCTCTGGGAACTCAAACGGACCGATTATTTTACCATTTAAAATTCCTGTCCAATGGTTTATCTTGAAGCGATATTGAGATTTATCTTCTCTCATCAAATGTGGGTTTGCTACGTGCCACTCGTGTAAGTTATGCGGGTTCATGTACCCATCTTTCTTAAATGTAGTCTCATCCGACCATAAAATTTTGTCAAAGCACTGTGGATCTTTCCTGTGTCTTTCTAACATTGTGCGACAAAAAGCAACTCGGGGCTCATAATCCCGGGGCAGGAGAGGTTGAACACGCTGTATGTGGCATGGATTAAGCACATCACTTACTTGCTATTGCACACTTTGATACCGATCAGTACTCCTTCGTTTACTGCGCATCTTTACATGTTCGTGCTTGTTGATTTCGTACTGTTACTAATTTTGGATTCGTCAACTGGACTGTTGATCGTTTGTGATTTGGATTTGGACTGTTTAATTGCTCTTCAAAACAACATTTGCTTTCCTTAGACTATCTTTGATAGTGTGATTGTGCAGTGCCGCTATGTCCGTGTACACCGTACAAGAATATGCTAACATGCACCTCATTTATGGGGAATGCAGATGCAACGCTAGTGCTACAGCGAGACTTTACTGTGAGAGGTACCCGAATGCAGCTCGTCATCCAGGTCATCGAGTGTTCACAAATGTGCATCGCTTACTGTTCTCAGAGGGCCAACTACCAAACCAATCACACGGTGAGGGAAGATCTTTCCTTCCTTACGAAGACGTGGTGCTAGGAGCTGTCGAAGAAGACCCGAGTACTTCAGTGCGTGCAATAGAACTAAAAACAGGTGTGCCCAAAAGTACAGCCCATAGAATCTTGCAAAAAAACGTGCTCCATCCATACCACGTACAGCGTGTTCAAGCTCTTCTGCCCCGGAATTATGAGCCCCGAGTTGCTTTTTGTCGCACAAAGTCAGAGGGAAGATCCACGGTTCTTTGAAAAAATTTTATGGTCAGATGAGGCCACATTTAAGTAATATGGGTACATGAACCTGCATAATTTACACGAGTAGCAAACCCACATTTGATGAGAGAAGATAAATCTCAATATCGCTTCAAGATAAACCATTGGACAGGAATTTTAAATGGTAAAATAATCGGTCCGTTTGAGTTCCCAGAGACTTTGACTGCTGAGGTTTATTTAGGTTTTTTTGCAAAATCATTTAGAAAATTTATTGAAGGACGTGCCACTGAGTATTTACAGGGACATGTGGCTTCAGCATGATGGCTGCCCAGCGCACTATGCACTCTCAGTGAGAGACTATCTCGATCAAAACTTTCCAGGCAGATGGATAGGGCGGTCTGGTACAATACCGTGGCCAGCCCGATCACCTGATTTGAATCCTTTAGATTTTTTTACTGGGGAACTGTAAAAGAAAAAGTGTATTTCAAGCCGATTCAAAATGTATCTGAGCTACGGCAAAGACTATTGGAAGCAGCTGAGTTTGTTAATAACCGTGGATTCGCTCGTTTAATAACCCGATCTTTTTTAAGAAGATGTCGAGCGTGTATTGCGGCTGAAGGAAAACAGTTTGAGCATTTGCTGTAAAGGTAAATCATCATCAGCAGCATTTTGACGCCCACTGTTGTGCAAACAGTTATCCTTAAGGGTCCTTGTGCGTTTTCATAACCGCTGTTTAATTAGGAAATTTTGAAAAATTTTCGTCAGTTTTTCTTCAAATAAAAATTGTGCATAAGTTAACGAGTAATCTTCTAAGTGTTATACCATTTTGGAATCCTTATTAAATGCGCCAACTTTTAAGGTTACTTGCCAAACTCTCGTAGTATATTTTTTCCAGTACAGCCAGTTAAAGTTGAGCAAAGTTTTACTTTGGAATACTTGGTTGGGAAATAAGTGGCAATTTTTCCTGAACGAGAAAAGTTGGCAGTAAGGTTGATACATCAGTTTGAAGATGCATTATTCATCATTAGATTGTAACAATAAAATCCAAAAAAAGTTAATATTTGTAGTAACAGGAGTTGACAGACTGCCGTAGGGTGTGAAATTTCTATATTTTTTTCAAAGACCTATAATTTTCAAAACACATGCATAAAATTTTTTTAAATATTTTTCTGATAGCTGTTATGACTTTGCCTATCACCCGGTTTCGGCTTGACGTCGACTTCTGGGACACCCTGTATACTAGCGCAAAAATGTGCAATCGGCACAAGCTTGTCATGAAAATGCGATTTGGAGGTGTGGCCGGCAGGTATTACTGTAACAAATCCACCTTGTGCCCTAAGAGAGCGTTAGCTAATGCGACTTTTTTGAAGAATGCCTTATGCCCTTAACACACTTCGGTTATTGTTTTTCCTATATTATAGTTATAATCTATTTACTGTAGGTATGTGCTTGAAGGATTATTTAAAGTGACGCTGATTTTTTATGTCCCGCGAGCCGCTGGTGCATTTAACACTGATTAGACACATACTGAACAAAATTTCATCTATTTTTCGGTAAATATTGGGACAACTTTTCATAAAACAAGCCATTTACAATAAATTAAGACTTTTATTTTGAAAATAACATCATTTCTAATTGCACATTTCTCCCAAAAAAGGTACAACTTGGCAACAATGGACATCATTTATTTTATCTGTCAAGAAATGAGCGTTATAAAATGGCCGTTCAGAATTGTTTTTGCTTTCAAATATTTCTTATAAACGCAAAAACTTTGATCTCATTGAAAATACGCGAAAAAAATTGTTGAGGAGTTTCAAGAAGACATTGAAAAACTACAAGATAACACCTCTACCCAGTTTATTAAGTAAATACCTTCATTTACGTATGTATTTTGCTATGTCATTTGAGCTAATAAGCTAATGTGTGGTTTTGAACCTTTTTTTGCAAAAAACAACGATTTTTTTACAGTTTCACATCTGTTTTCGTTAGTACTATACAGTGTATGTTATATTCTTATAATTTAGAACATCCTTTTGTACAAAAATAAAAAAGACAGCATATAAAACAGTATTCTATTCTAGAGTATTACCACCAAAAATGCCACTTCGAAGTTCTATAAAATAGCAAGCAAAGGGTTCCTTAAAGAAAAAATGATATTTTCGTAAAAGTTACATCCTAATCTTTCATGTTAAAGTAAGAAATGAAGTATTTGCTATATGCGCTAAAGTAGAGTCTTTCCATGTTTAATTCTGATTCCAAAAATATATAGTATGTCGCACATCGACATTGCCAGTTAGTTATTTCAAAAAGAAACAGAATTTCCTAGGTAGGCCTAGAGATTTAACATATCGAAAAAAAAACGGGAAAAATTAGGAAAAAAACACGGTTTTTCCGTTTTTTTTCCAGACCATGGGAAAAATTGGAAAAAAATGGGAAAATTTAAATATTTATTAATTGATCATATTCTTGTAATTTAAGAGTATACAGATAATAATTATTATTACTGAATCTTGACATTAGTAATAAAGAAAAGTCAGGAAAATATGCAAGGAAACTGAAATCCCACCTTCAAAACACTTAAAGCTATTCCAAATTTATAAAAATATTCACTTACCAGAAACCAAAACAAACACTTGGGTCAACAACACTAACAATCTTCAGAACAAACACACTCAATTATTCCAGCAAAATTTCACTTTGTATTATTCATTTACTGCGCTTATGATAAGGCTAAATTAAAATGCGTGCTTTAAAATAAACAAGACGTGTCAATATTGAAGAATCTCATTCTCAACTGAACAATTCAGGAATACGGGGATTTACCGAAATGCGGTGACGCTGTGCGTGATCGGGAATTAACCGAAAGCTGTAATGGTCGGGAATTCTTTTATCTTGTATATAACAAATTTCAATTTTTCCGGAAATTTTAAATCTCTAGGTAGGCCTTGAAATTATTAGTCATTTGTTTTATATGTGTACAACATTTATCGCCAAACCATTTTATTTTTTCCTGACTATTTGAAATCGAACTACGAAATAGATTGCATGTTGTTATTGGCATTTTTTCTTACAATATGGTGTAGTCACCAACTTCGTTATTTCATATGGACGCTATATTATCCTAAATTCATGTGATGTATCTTCTTAGTTGGCATTGAATTTGTTGTTCAAAAGAAAATTATAAGAATTCAAAAAAGTATGGTGAAATCACAGTACAAATAAGGCCAAGAAGAAATTGAAACAATTTTGGGGAAATTCGTTTTTTTCCGTCTCCCGGTATATTAGACCTATTGAAAATAGATGCAATATACTCAGACCATTAGAAGTGTTACACCCAGAAAAAATAAGCTCTCAGAAACTTCTTTCTTTACAAAAACTAAGAGATAACGTTTCAACAAAGGTAAATAGAAACAAAGATAAAACGTTGACATTGTTGCCACAGCAAAAAACAAGTTGAAGAAATTATTTTTTATGAGTATAGCTCTTCTAATGTCACTCAGTATATTTGAAAATCATAGAAATATAATTCAAAATGTTCAATGTAACGTAATATATGGCGTTGTCCAAAACGGACGCAGGAAAGTAAACGCATATTAAAACAAGAAAGATTGATATTCAAATCAAGTTGGGTACTTTATTTTGAAGGTTCATTTATACCATTTATGTATGAAAAATAACATCGCTCAAATGTTCGCCACGACTGGATTTACAGACGTCCACGCGATGGTCGAAATTTTCAATGACATTTTGCAACATGGTCGGTTCTATGGCATTTATCTCGGCAATGATGTTGTTTTTGAGTACTTGGAGGGTGGCTGGTTTGTTGACGTAGACTTTGCTTTTCAAATATCCCCATAAAAAGAAGTCCAAGGGAGTCAAATCGCACGATCTTGGTGGCCATGGCACATTTCCTCTGCGCGAAATCACGCGATCACCGAAGAAGGACTGCAATCGATGGATATTGACGTTGGTTGTGTGGCATGTTGCACCGTCTTGTTGAAAATAAACATCGTCCATATCCATTCCTTCAAGTTGCCTCAAAAAATAGTCCTCTATCATCACGTGATATCGCTCACAATTGACGGTAACGGCGTCCGCGGCCGCATTTTCGATAAAGTAAGGTCCGATGATGCCTTTTGACCACAATGCACACCACACAGTCACTTTTTGAGGATGCATCGGCTGCTCTTGATACTCACGGGGATTTTCGTTCGCCCAGATATGGCAGTTTTGCTTGTTTACCGTCCCATTCAAAGTGAAATGCGCTTCGTCGCTGAACATGATTTTTGATGAAAAATTGGCATCAATTTGTTCAAGGAGCCAATCTGAGAACGTTCGGCGCGAAAAATGGTCGGCCCGACGCAGCTCTTGCGTCAATTGGATCTTGTAGGCGTGTACATTCAAATCCTTGTGGAGAATGCGGAGCAAACTGGTTCTCGAAATGCCCAATTCTTGGGATCGACGCGTTGTTGATTGTTTCGGATCGTCTCTCACACTCTCCTTCACAACAGCAATATTTTCAGGTGTGCGAACGCTCCTTGGCCGGCCAGAGCCTGGCAGATTTGCCACAGAACCTGTTGCTTCGAATTTACGCACCAGACGACCGATGGGGCGGTTGTTGCGACCGAAATGTTCACGAAGCGCGCGAAACGTGTTTTTCATTTTTGCACCATTTTTGTAGCGCTCTTGAATAACTTTAATGCGGTCTTCAATCGAATACGACTCCATAGCGATCAATGGTAAACATTCAACTAACAAAATGACATGTCGGTGACAGAAAACAAAGATGGCGTCTATGTCAAATTGACGTTTACTTTCCTGCGTCCCTATTGGACAACCATCAGGCTATTTAAAATATACGAAAAAATATCGTAAAAAATGTACCTATAGTAGTAGTATAACCTAATCTAGGTATTTGTACCTGATGAAACATACTTATTTTCAGAATCTCTTAAACAATTTCTCAAAACGAGACACATTGACCTTGATATCGAGGCTACTTCTCCTGTTCCAACTGTTCACTGTATTCCCACTGATAACTTATATGTTGAGGCAGGATATATTGACGAATCTCAATGGCATATTTAAACTGGATTCTACTTTTGGATATACCAAGATCATGTGCATCAATTTTGTCGTTGTACTGACATGCATCATGTTCGCCTGTTTTCTCCCGAGAATTGGAACATTGATAAGGTACAGTTACGTTCATATTATTATTTTTTGTTGGTATGATGCATTTATCACTCGATAATGCTAGAAAATCACCCTATACTTAAGGCTACTCTCTAGTTGCAAGCGAACTCAGATATGCATACTTCCTCTTGCCCCGTCTAGGCGCGTATACCCTTTCGTGGCTGTCTATTACTAATTGTATGGACAAAGGAAGTGTCAAAGGTATGCCATTTATAGTCATGGATTCGTTTACAACACAACAACGCATTCTGGTTATCGAAACTTAATACGAAAACGGTCGAAATATAAAAAATACTTATCGCAAACTTCTCACTAGTTTTGGCCGACATGGACGCCCTACAGAGTCTGGAATTCGTTGGACTGTTAATCGTTTTGAGGAAAATGGTTCAGCTGAAGGTCGTAGACCATACCAACATGATCGTCCAGCTCGTACTCGTGAAAACACAGCAGCAGTGAGTGAAAGTGTGCGTGAAGATCCAACCACCTCGACTAGGCACCGTTCGCAACAATTGGGAATTAGTGAGACCACTTTACGCCGGATTTTACACACTGAATTCGACCTCCATCCATACAAAATCCAACTAACACAAGAATTGAAGCCGGTAGACCATCAACAGCGGCGTGTTTTTGTTAAGTGGATGCTGGAAAGAGAAGACGGATTTTCGGGCAAAGTGCCCTTTTCTGATGATGCTAATTTTCACCTCAATGGGTACGTAAATAAGCAAAATCGCAGATTCTGGGGGGCTGAAAATCCACACCAATATCATGAACAACCTCTCCATCCTGAAAAAGTGACTGGTTGGTGCGGATTATGGGCTGGTGACATCGTTGGACCATTCTTCTTTGAAGATGCCGAAGAAAAGGCCATTACCGTCAACGGGAAACGTTATCGCGGCATGTTAACAAACTTTTTGTGGCCACAATTGGATCGTATTGGTGCCGACACACAGCGAACAGGGGATGGTGTACACAACCGAAGAGAAGGCGAAGCTTTTGCTGACAACCTTCAGAGACAGTGTACTCTCAATACTCACCCCGATGAAGACGAAGACTTCATCGACGAGGTGATAAGACGATCGAGGAGAGCTGTAAGAGAAGGAAGAGCCATTGAAGACATGACCTCTCCAGGCGAGGTAAGGGAAATCATCGGAAGACTCAAGGTGAGGAAAGCACTGGGTGTAGACGAAATTGGGAACAGAGTCTTGAAGAGACTCCCGAGAAAAGCGATAATGGCAATTACCAACATTGTCAACGCCATATTGAGACACCGATACTTTCCAGAACACTGGAAAGTAGCCGAAGTGATCAACATACCAAAACCTGGGAAAGACCCAAGGTTCCCTCAAAACTACAGACCCATAAGCCTGACGGCATTGAGCAAGATTGCGGAAAGGGTAATCGAACGAAGACTGAGGAACGAAACTGAAGAACTCCGATCATTCAGCAGAGCACCAGGTCTTATGGCTGGGCAAGATGGCATCGAAATCGTGCCGTGGGAGCTGTGTTCATGGATGCCGCTAAGGCGTTCGACGCTGTCTGGCATGACGGACTGATCTACAAGATGGTAGACCTCGGATACTCAACGGGGATGATCCAACTGTGAAGTCCTATTTGTAGCACCGTAAATTCCGAATTAGGATTGGTAAAGCAACTTCGACGACGAGGACTGTGGAGGCAGGAGTACCGCAGGGAGCGGTTCTATCACCCCTGCTGTATGCAATCTACAGTTCAGACATCCCGAAGACTCCACAAACGCAACTGTATGTGTATGCGGACGATACAGCATATGCGGCAGAAAGTACGAGACCCCGCATGGTTACGGAATATCTGCAACGAGCGACTACCAACCTAGAGGAATGGTGCATCAAGTGGAAGATCCGTCTCAACCCTGAGAAGACCGAAGCGGTACTGTTCCGAAGAAATCGAAGATTACCTCAAACCAAAATAAAGATGACGACCACCAGAATGGAGAGAGGCTGGAGAAGAGACGAAGAAGTTGAGGTCGACTGGAAGGACTCCAGCACATACCTTGGAGTCAAGAAGGACCAGGCAAGAGGCTCCAAGCTCAACAAAACATAGCACTCCGTGAGGCGGTGGACGCACCATGGTATGTACCTAACAGAGTGCTATATGACGAACTACGACAGGTACCGGTCGTAATCCAGATGAGAGAGAGGGCCCGAAAGTTCTTTGAAAAGAACGAAAGACATCGAAATGTGCTGATTACGACCCAAGAACAATAAGGCGTCATAAAAGAGCGAAAAGCCAGCTGCAACAAGAAGAAATTTGGCCCTAGCAGCTGATGAGGCCAAAGAAAAGGGGAGAAGACCGACAATAGTTGTACATCCAAGAGGGGAAAGAACAGCCCGAGTACAACGGGTGGGCAAAAAGAAGCCTATCGATTGAGGTGGCCAGAGTCAAGCACGAACTCGGGGCTAACCTCAGGAGACGAATGACAAACAGCAAATGGCTGACTGACTGACTCCAGTCGACGAGGAAAGAGCCAAGGCTCACCAACCTTAATGTGGGGTTAGGTCAAAGCCCCCAGCGCAGGACCCCCAAGAAAGAGGCCGTCCATAAAAGTCGAAAACCGACAGTTGGATGAAACGTCCACCACGTGCTTCCGCGACGCGTGCGCGATCGAGTCAAATTTCGGGAAAAAGGGGCAAAATTGGGAAGGGGGGTTAGCTCGTTCGGCAGCACACACTCGGGGAATGCGCAGTGGCCTGAACCACGCAGCGCCACGCCAGGCCTTCGGGCGGGAGAGGAGGGAGGAGCAGATTGCTCTTCCCCCCACTCCTCAAGGGTTTGAGGTTGGCTGGAACAGGGGTGGTGGAGGGACTGCACAGGGTAGGAGGGTGTGTGTGAGTGTATTGGTGCCGACGATCTTTGGTTTCATCAAGACGGAGCAACGGTTCACACATCTCGCCAAACAATCGCCTTAATGCACACGAAATTTCAAGACCGCATAATTTCACGAAATTCAGTTGTCAGTTGGCCCCCGAGATCGTGCGATTTAACTCCTCTTGACTATTTTCTTTGGGGATTTTTGAAAGTAAAAGTGTATGCGAATGGTCCCCGGACAATTCAAGACCTAAAGCGAAATTTTTGAACTGAAATTGCGGCCATAGACCCGATTATTCTAGGAAAAGTCATTGGAACATTTTGATGTTCGGATGTTGGCCTGTAAACGAAACCGCGGTGGCCACATGACTGATGTTATTTATCATACATAAATGGCATAAACCAACCTTCATTTATCAATAAAAAAATTCGATTTCACCTCGTAAAAAGCGTGTTGATTTTTTAAATAGAAATAAGTAATAGATGACGCACCCTGTACAACCCAGCTCATAGTCGTTCGTTTTCTATGTAAATAATAAATTTCGAACCCACAATATTGTTTTTTTTTTCGTTCAGCCCAGAATGACGTCACAGAGACACAACGAGGGACTGCGATTATTTGCTGTCGATAAATATATATATACTAAGTGACATATAAATCCGAACACCCAGTTTAAATGGTTTTATTTTAATAAAATTTTGTATAAGTACTTAATGAAGCATAATAAGTAAATTATAAAAATTTCAAAATGATTGCACTGCTTTAAAGCCCTTTGACCTTTAATAATGTGTGGATGCACCCTGATGTGCTACGCATTCTCCAACGCGCCTAGGCATGCTTCTGATCAGATGGTAAATGTCCTCCTGTGGTATCTCAGTCCAGGCAACCACCAACTCCTCTCGAAGTGCTTCTAGAGTCTGAGGAGGACGTTGTAAATTGAGCAATCTCCTACCCATCATATCCCACACGTGCTCAATTGGGGATAAGTCGGGAGATCTTGGTGGCCATGGTAACAATGTGACATCATTATGTTGAAAGAAGTCTATTGTAACTCTTGCAACATGTGGTCGGGCATTATCTTGTTAGAAAGTTGGATCTGCCAGGGTGTCAAGATAGGGTAAAAGATGGGGTTCTAGAACTTCGTGGATATAACGCTGCGCGTTCATGTTACCTCTGATGATCTTCATTAAAGGTGACCTGGAACCATAAGCTATAGCACTCCAAACCATAACTCCATCAGTGTGATGAACATGTCTTTCAACAAAAAACTGTGGATTCCTCCTTTCACCACGACGCCTTCTAACCCTGGCACGACCATCGTGCATGCCTAAACAAAATCGAGACTCGTCACTAAAGACAATCCTGTTCCATTCCTGATCCCAGAGTGACCGTTGTCTGCACCACTCAAGGCGATTACGTCGGTGTTCTCGAGTTAAAGGGAGGACCCAGTGTGGCCGGTATGAAAACAAGCCAAAACTTCTCATTCGTCGGTAAACACTTCGCATGCCAATAGGTCTTCCGTGTTCTGCAAACCATTCATTTGCAATGGACCTGGCAGTGGAGAAATGGTCCCTTAAGGCCAATAATCTTAGGCGGCGATCTTCACGGTCTGTTGTTCTACGGCGGCGTCCAGTGCCCCTTGCTCTTTGCGTACGGCCTTCTCGAAGCCATGCCTGACAACACCTAACCACAGTGTCTACACTTCTTTGCACTCTAACTGCAATTGCCCTAAAAGAAAGTCCAGCTTCCCGAAGTCCCACTATACGGAACCTATCAAACTCACTAAGTTGACGAAATCGTACAGGTCTCCGTACTCTAGGCATCGCAACCGACCGTAAAGGATGTCAAGAACCAAAATCCGCCAACGTTGATTCTTTACTGCGGCTGAAATATTCATTTTTAGAGCGTTTAGTGAATTAAAAAAAAAGCAGTATAAAAACCGGAATGTCCAACTGATAAGGCTAAAAATTTTTTCACTTGTTATTTACAGTAAGATAAATACATGGCATGTTTTCTTCAAATTTGACAGCCTCCACTGGAGTGTTATCAAAGCCCTTGTAAAAAACACAATCATGTCTCAATAATCTTAGAATTATATAAGAACAGGACGACAAGTACCAAGTACTTGCCTCCATTTTTTGTATTCATTATTTGGATGTTAACTGAGATTCAGTTGGTTACTGAATTTATACACCATCCATTTTATGGAATAACAGTTGTAGAAGTTTTTTCTTAACCGATTGCAGTTTCGACTATTTTCGTCCGAGTCACTTTTGGTAATAGACCAGCTAGAAGAGCCGAATAATGATCTCCCTTTTGGTTGAGTGACATCGCTGCAACTTGACATCTTGTTTCATAAGAATCTTTCGATGAAAAATTTAGTCTTATCCCTTCAACAAATTTGCATAGTTATTCCCCTCTTGTTGGCTGCAAATCCTATCCTATTTCGAAGCCGAAAGACTTGAGATGGCACATTTCTTACGTACCTGCAGATATTTACTACTTTTTCTGGAAATGTTGCTTCCTCTTGTATCCTATACTCTGTGTATCGTCAGTTGTTCCTACAATTGTAGGCCTCCTTGATTTTCATGGTTTTTGCTGTCATTTAGGAAGACGCTCTATTTTGAGGTTATGTTACAAATATACATTTAAAGAGAAACAGAAAACATAACTGGGAGAGCGCTAATGCTGACTCGGAAGAGTAGGAATCTAGAAATCTTTGTGCTATGAAAATCAAGGAGGCTAAAAGGCGTCCTACAATGTAGGAACGACTGACGATACATCCCTTAGCGTCTGAGCTCGGTCTTCAAACACTAACACTTAACACTTTAACTTTGCTTTCTCCATAAAAACAAACATGAATGTAACAGAGACTTATTAATTTTCAGGTACACCGGAGCTTTAAGTGGATTGGTGTACATCTTTCTCCTACCAAGCTTATTGCAGATGGCCTCACTTAAGAAAGACGATCGTTTGACAGCGCCTAAAGCTATATTCTATTGCTGTATTATAGTTATCGGATCTTTGAATTTGTTTTCACAGTTCTTCATCAGTGATACTCAGTAGAATTTTATTTTTTTAAAATCAACTTTTATACTTAATTTCTTATTTATTAGCAGTTTTAAATACATCCTCTGAGCTTTTTTGTTTTTTTCAATCTATCGCTACTTTCAAGCTGCAACCACGATATCATCGACAAGACAGCACAAAGTGTCATCTATTACCAGAATCGACTCCTACGAAAGTGAAGACGGCAAGTTGACTGTTTACAAATTTATTTACTGCCTTTATCGGACCATAACTGGGTGTACTTACTTGGATGCCTCGCTGTCAAGATCGACTACCTGAACATCAATCACCTTGCTTCAGAGGTAGTTCTCCTCGGTGATTTCAATGCCGATGATGAGCTTTGGTTGGGCTCAAACAAGACCGATGCATCAGGTCGTGCTGTTGAAGCATTCGCTCACCAGTCCTTAACCTGGCGACGAGCCCTACTTCTTCCCCCGCGTCTCGTCACATGCCAGTAGTCTGCTGGATCTCTTTCTGACCACGCATCCTGTCCCTTACAGCAGTTATGTCCTGTTTCCTCTGGGTTAACTCAGGCCACTGCGCTGTAGAGGTTAGGTTTCGGTCAGAACCCGCTGCCGTAGCAGGCCACAAAACTTGACATTACGGACATGCCGACTGGAAGGGTCCCAGAGACTGTCCAGCTTTCCTTGGAGAGACGTCTGTTTCACTGACGCGGATGCGTCGGCTGTCTGCTTTTCGCTAACAGAAATTATCCACGTCGGAATGGAGGAATACATCCATCACATACTGAAAGTGCCTAAACCAGGGTCCAACGGCTGGTTTAACAAATCGTGTGACACTGTTCGCCAGCAGAAGATCAAGGCACACAGAACCTCACTATAGAGAACAGACAAGCTGACGTCGAGTCCAGAAACAAATACAACGAAGCGGTTTGCAATACCAAAAACCAGCATGATATAAAAGTTAGGTACAGGGTAATGTCGCAGCGCTATATCAGTCGGTCTTTCTGGACGCTGGTCAAGCAGATTGAGAAGAACTTCTCACACAGTAGCCTTCCACCACTTACGTGTCGGGATGGAACTATTGTATTCGACTCAAAGGCCAAGGCGAAAGTGCTAGCCAAGATCTTTGCTGCCAACTCCACCATGGACGTCCCCCCAACACCCAAGTGCCGTCAATTCAAAGGGTTCCCTACACTATGCGGGCTATAACATTCAGGCATAAGACCGTAAGACGAGTGCTCTTGTCGCTCGACATCAATAAAGCTTCTGGTTCGGACTTGATTCCTGCCGTTGTATTGACGAGGTGTCAGCGAAGCTTACTCCAGTTCTTCCAGATATCTTACGAATCCGGCACCTTCCCAGAAAACTGGATATTTGCTCACGCCCAACTCTTCCCACAAAATGGATCTAAGACCGACCCTTAGAGCTTCAGGCCCATAGCTTAACTTTCTATTATAAGTCAGGTGATGGAGAGGTGCATAAATCGCGAGCTTCTGGACTACCTCGAACGTCACGTTTTTGGAAGCATTTAACTGTGCGAGATTGTTGTGCTCCCAGCTAGGAGGAAAATGGAGACGTGGGTTGCAAGACAACACTCTCAGAAATGGAGAAGTATCTCCAGACATCTCCGCCAGGCACGGGAACTCATTGAAGGGCCCAGTGCTAAAGATGGACGCTTCTGCCTATCTCTGGATAGAGCCAACCTAAGATTGCTGGTGGGACTGTTGTCTGGCCATAACCCGTTAAGGCGTCACCTGCACGTGATGGGGGTGGCTGAGGATTCCTGCAGCAAATTTACAGTTTTTTGGGAAAGTGCCGGATTCATACCTGAAAAAGGCGTGAAAGAGTTGTTCGCTATACGAGAAATTTCCATAGGAGCAAAATGATAAAGAATTTAAGTCGCTACAAAATTGTTTCAATTCCTTTTTTACATTGGCTTGATGATTTTCGATAAAACGCGTTTATCCAAATGATGACGCTAACTTGAATTCATAATAATAATAATAATAATAATAATAATAATAATAATAATAATAATATTTATTTACTCTAAAATACAGGGAACATGAAACGAGTAAATAAATATAATATATCCATAGGAGGACAACGCCTGTGCATGGATCATATGTATGTTGAATTGCAAAATATATTAAAATAGAGAGAAAAAAGAAATTATTGGTAAGAATGGTAGAGCATTTATTGTGTAATATTGGAGATTATTTTATTAATTTGATTTCTCTCAATCGTGTTAATACATTTTTTTAATTTTTTTTTGAAGTCTAATGTATTGCGTAATTGTTTTAAATTATTTGGTAAATGTTCGTACAATTTTGGAGCTATATACAGGTGACATCGTTTCATTAGGGATTTGTTTGGTTTAGGAACATTTTTTGCGCGTAATTTATATCTGGTTTGATGATTATGTTTAATTATGTCGTGTTCACTAATAGTTTTGTGATAATGAGTGATGGTATGTAAGAAGTAAATTTGTTTAGTATCATATACTTGTGCATCATTATATAAGTCATTAGTTGGGTATAATTTTGATTTGCCTAACATTGATTTTAAAATTCTTCTTTGAAGTACATCTAAATCGTTAAAGTATGTCGTGCATGCAGCACCCCACACTACTATACCATATGTTATGTGTGGCTCGACTAAAGCTTGATATATTATTCGTAGATAATATTCAGTTAATATACCGGTTAGAAATTTTATTTTATATGCTATGAATCTAATTTTCTTCAGTATGTGAGAAATATGTACATCCCATCTCAAGTGGGGATCTAGATAAATTCCTAAATATTTTGTATCATTAACTCTATTGATTTTTATATTTTTATCATTTACCTTAAACCGAAGGTGGTTATTTTTTGTTAGATGATTAGATAGTGATGAAAATGGTAAAAAATGAGTTTTAGTAAAGTTAATTGTTAATTTTCGGTTATTAAACCACTGAATAATTTTGCAAAAGTCATTTTGGATAATATCTTTTAAGTCGTTCCAATCCTTACCTTTATAGAGTATAGCAGTATCGTCTGCAAAACTGACTATTTTACCAGTACTGTTAATTTTGAATATATCATTTAAATAAATATTGAATAACAGAGGACCCAAAATTGTACCTTGTGGAACACCACATTTAACAAACATTTCTTTACTATACGAGCTTAATAATTTTACTGATTGCGGTCTATTTGATAAATAATTTTCCATTAAAGTATACATCTTTCCACGAAAACCTATTCTTTCTAAGATTTCTAAAAATATATTGTGGTTAACTGTGTCAAACGCTTTTTGTAAGTCCACAAATACGCATATCGATGGTACTTTTCCATCTATATTTTGGGTTATTTCATCTACTATACTTAATACCCCATCTGTTGTAGATTTGCCCGCTATAAAACCATATTGATTTGAATTTAGAATTTTGAATTTATTAAGAAAATTAATCATTTTATTAAGGAGTAATTTCTCAAAAACTTTAGCTAAACTTGATATAAGTGAAATAGGTCGATAGTTAGTGACGTCCGTATTATCATTAGATTTATAGATAGGTATGATGATTGCTGTCTTGAAAGCTGATGGAAATACTCCAGATTGGAAGGATTTGTTAATGATATAAGCAAGTGGTTCTGTTATTTGTTTGGCCAGTATCTTTAGATGTTCAGCTCTAATTTCGTCAACTCCAGGGCTTTTTTTATTTTTTAGAGTCATAATGGCATTGAAAACATCCTGATAGTCTACTTCAGTTAATACAAATGAATTATTCAGTCTTGTTTCATGCAGATGAATATCAGCATTTTGTTTGATATTATTTGCTAAGTTTCCTCCTATATTCGTGAAAAATTCTATGAACTCATCACATATTTGCTGAATATTGTCTGTTTTCTGTCCTGTTTTTGTTTTTATTTCATTAATATTGTTTTTTGAATAGGATGACTTATTGAATATATCATTGACAGTGGACCATAGGTGTGTAGAGTCATGTGAATTATTATTCAATTGTTTTATATAGTATTTTTTTTTGCTTTTCTCAAAAGTTCTATAAATTTGTTTTTATACTGATTATAATGATCTATATTTCCTTTCGTGGGTAAATATTTCATGATTTTATACAGTCTTTGTTTTTCGTTTGCAGATTTTATTAGTCCTTTGGTCATCCAATCATTTCTGCTTTTTTCCTTGTGACTTATTTTAACCTTATTAGTACTAACTTCAATTACTTTTTGAATTTTGTGTATTAATAAATTTGTAGCTTCGTCTAAAGAATTTGTTAAAAAAATTTCGTCCCACGATTCCGTTTGTGCGTTAAATATTAATTTTGAGTTGTCAGTGAAATATTTGTATTCAAGGTTTCTTTCATTTTTTGCAATAATCTAACAATACCGGCAAAAAAATTTTATGTCGCTAAAACTGTAAAATTTCCTCATACGAAATCTCCCGATTTTTTGGCCTAGCAAGTGGTATCGCATTCCGCAAATGAGTCGGGATGATTTCTTAGCGGCAAGTCGGCATGCGTTGCCGCACCGTTTACGCTGCTGGTAATTAAGAGGCCGTATATCATACGCACGAAGTATGGAGCGCCGGCGCCTCACACTCGGGCGCCATTCACAACACAAACAGATTCAGCGTCAACGACAGCCAACAGGAATGTGGCTTCCGCACAGGTTTGAACTCTGCGTATAAAGTTTTTTCGTACGCCTACTGTAGCAGTATATTCCGTCTTCAACCGATGGGCTTGCGAGTCTTGGCCCGAGGGGCGCGCCTTTATGGGGGCCCCAAGACACAAAATCATTGAATAACGTATTCTAGCTGGAGGACGATTAATAATAATAGTAATGATTAATATTATTAACAGTAATATAGAATCCGCGTAATCTGAAAAGATAAATAAGTACCTTGCACTGACGAGATTAAAGATATGTGGGAGATGGATAAAGTGATGGTAGTATGGTTTATCTGAAGTCACTTGAAATAGCATAAAAACCTTTGGTCGGCGCGTCCTTTGTAATTTCATGACGTATCATAGGCGTGCGGTCATTTATTTAGAACGATAATAATAATGTTTTTATATCACAATAAATGGATTTTACTATCTTATTTTTTTGATTTGGGATAAAAA